ATGAATGAATGAATGAATGAATGAATGAATGAATGAATGAATGAATGAATGGTGATAGTGATGATGATGATAATTTATTAAACTTGTATGCTGCCCAACTCTCAACAACTATGGGGGGCTCACAACAATCAAACAAAGAAATTACTGTACAATAAAATAAAGAAAAAATAAAGAAAAATGACAAATGCAATGAATTGAGGGGTCTCACTCTCTCGCTGAAGGCCTGGGTGAATGATACCCCAGTTAAACAGTAACCCCCAAAACAAAACCACATCACCAACAGAGTTCCTGCCCTCAAAACCACCAGGCTGCACTACTGTAATATACTCTACTTGAGACTGCCCTCAAGACTGCCCACTACAGATGGTCCAAGATGCTGCCAACGTACTTTCTCAGTCCCATTGTTGGGAGAACATAGCACCAGTTTTGGGGACTCCATACTGTTTGCCAGTTAGCTTCCAGGTACAATTTAAAGTGCTGGTTTTAATCTATAAAGCCCTTCATGCCGAAGCACTTGGATATCTGCAGGAGTGAGTACTCCAATAAGTACTGCTCCAACTGGTCAGATCCCGGAGGGAGAAACTGTTATCAATCCCACATTTTCTGGAGGTTAAAGGGGCTGTGGCGAGAAGACACTGCTTTCTAGTGCACTGTTTTTCAACCTCAGCAATTTCAAGATGTGTGGACTTGAAGGAAGAATAGGCTGAAAAATAGCTTCTATCTTAGAGCTGTAACTATACTGAATTCTATCGTATAGTGCAGTATTAATGCAGCATCAGGGGTTGGGCAATATGGAATGTGAAAGTTGTGTTATATGTTTTATATGTGTTTTGTGTGTTCTATGGTTTTTATATCTTTAAAGCTGCACTGGGGTGGCATTTAATTTCATTGTACAAGTAGTACAATGACAATAAAGATTTCTATTCTATTCTAAGGTTGGGAAACCCTTCTAGTGATACCATAGAACAGCCACCCAGTTAGTATCAGGCTAGCCCCCTCCTTGCCGAGAATTCTGAAACTTTGAAAGTTGTTTTAATGAGCCTTCCCCTGATTTTGCCACATCATCTTTCACTTCTGTTTTTATGTTTGGTGGGTGCTCGTTTTTGTAGAATCTTACCCCACGGATGTTTTAATCAGTTTTAGATTCTGTGGAAGCCGCCAAGAGTCGTTGGATTGCGGTGGGATAGAAGTGTGAAAAATAAGCAAACAGCATGAGGCCTACGGATGACCTCAGGCCTGAAAGGGCTCCACCGCCACCCGGCGCACGAGCAGCCTCAGTGCGTCGGTTCACAGAGAACAGCCTGTGGTTATTAGGGGGCAGGGTCTCCCCCACCCAAAATCTTAGAAGCCGCAGTTCCCAGCCTGAGGAAGGTCTCCTGGGTCAGGGATTCGCTTTCCTTTCAGATTATTAGTAGGTCTACATGTCACCCCCCACAAGGTCTAAGCACTCTACAAAACAAAGGCACGTGTCCATTAAAAAAAAAGCCTCAGAGCCATCAGGGCCAAGCCCCCCACCAGGCTCTCAACGGCCTGGGTGGAAAAAGAGGGTTAAGCCTCCCTGCTGTGGGGCGAGGGACAAGTCCCCCCTCCCTCCGCGCCCCCCCCGAGGGCCCTC